CGTGATGCCCCACCAAACCATCGTTCGATAGCCCAAATAACCAAGTTAAAACAGTTGAATTGGGACCACGGCAAAAACACATTCCATTGAATAGAGCATTTAAAAAATGTTTTCATCAATAATTGAGACATGGGAGAAATTAGAAAATGTACTGTGTCGTTCATACAATCGACCCACTATATATCCGTGTCTTTCTGTATTTCACAAAGGTAGTCACAATTACAGCATCCGTTATTTTAAGTGAAAAATGTATGTAGAATATATAGGATCGTTCGACAAAACACTCTATTCCCTCATATAAATATTATCATATACGTTGATAAAAATGCATGCGTTATAAACAAATGTTGAACAAATGTATGGACAAATATTATTATTATTATTATCTATTGAATTTGCATCACATGCCGAGAAATTCTGAAGGCATATTTATGAAGTGTGTCTGTTCATATTTCGGTGTGATGCAATTTTCATAAAACGTGAGTTGCAATGATAAACTGACAAATCCGAAGTCGCGACAGTAATGTCTACCTGTCAAATCGTATGCCATGTTATATTAAACAGTGACATGGAAGCAATTGTTTTGCGAATGAGGAAACGCGGGAAGTAATCAACTTGTAATGTAATATGACAAGTCACCTATAATTGGAACCCTTGTTTTAGTCATGCAAATTGCGATGAAGGAGTGAGCTATGCGTTAAAAAATACGTATGAAGACAGAAGTCAAGTTAAAGACATTAACACATTCACAGTTGGGGATTTCGATTTTCGAGGGCATTGCGATGTTATATGCAAGCCGTTGTACTATCGTGTTAAGATCGCTTTGTACAAATGGAATAAGACATGGGTGTTGTAATTGTAAAGTTGATTGTAAGTGCGAAGATCGATTGTAAGTTAGGTTGCTAGATTCATCTGGGCCTGCTGTAAACTGTAACAACGGCATTTGCGCCTTCAGTTACACTAAATAGAGTTACAACGTGTTGTGTCAGGCAACTTCTAATGGCAACTAGCGTCAAGAATAAAGTTTCTCTTCGACACATTCGAATGTTTAGGAGAACCGCCTTGTGGATTTTCCCGAATAGTTCCTCTCTGAATTAGTACTTCGTGTAAATTTGTCATAAAACATTCTTGACATTCGTAAAGCTTGTGCGAGAACAATCCCAGACACCAGATGGTTTCTTTTGTGTGTAAAACCCACGATGAAGGCAGTAGGTATGTGATATATTTTGTTCATTTTACAGTCTAAAGAGGTAATATGCTATCGCTAATTATTGGAGATTAGGTATTTATCCATCATGCCATACAAACTAGATTAATGGTCAAGGTGGGTCAGTAATCTGTATGCCTAATATTTATATGTATGTTGGACTCAGGTCATAGATTTGTGGCATATATTAGATCTTATATCATACATACAAACGGAATTAAGAAAACTCTGAAAGATAGATCTGTACATATGCCACTACCAATGCCTTCAACATTGAACTGAACAGTAAGGTCGCCCAAGGTCTATGATAGGAGAAAGAGAAGATGAATGAGCCATGACAGATGCAATGGGCAGCATCCCCAGAGAACTCCGACAAGAGTTGTGTCCTTCTTACTTGGAGTTTTCACACCCTACTCACTGACATTAATTTCTTTATTGAAAACTTGAGTGGCGAATGCTAGCAGTGGAGCAAGGCATGCTTACCCTTTTCCCAATCTACTGGTGTCAACACTGATTTTCAGTGACCCATATGTATACTTTTTATCACCGTTTGCTCTTGACGTCCTTTGGGCTGCACATTCCAGACTAATTAATCTTTTTGTGTTGAGAAGTCATATGACAATGAACATATCTGCACGGACTTAGAAATGCTGCCACATATATTCTTCAAAACAAGAAACGCAATACGGATATGTTTGGCAATAAAAGCAAAATTAGCGGACCAAGAGATGAAAATGACGATGTTTAATGTGTTATAGTGTCACTGACAAATTTCCCGGATCAAAATGATCACAAGGACATGCAAACCATTAGTCGGGAAACACGTACGATTCGGAAAAACGCACCCAGTCCACTAACAAAAGGCCATGGAGCTGCAGGTACTGCAAGTGCAGCAGCACTATGAACGGTATCAAAGTGCAAGGTTTGTGATTGCCTGGCATCTGCGTCAATCGAACAGCGACAGTTCAACAACATGCCAATATCAACAGAAGTGCACAGAAACAACGTAATAGGCAGCTTGCAGGCAGGGGAATCCCGATCAGCTGTAGCCAGGGTTTTCAATGTAGCGACCAGCACCATCACAAGGGTATGGGATCGGTTTCAACAGCGTGGGTCAGCACGTGATCGGCCAAGGTTTGGACGACCAAGAGTAACCACCCCCGCCCAAGATCGCTACATCCGACTGCGCCACCTACGTGAAAAGACGACCACAGCCACCTAAACCGCATCCCAAATACCCGGACTGAGCAGAATTTCCGACCAGACCGCACGAAACCGTTAAAGAGTAGCAGGTCTACGCGCAAGACGTCCTGTTCGACGCGTCATACTGAGGCGACAACATCGTCAAAAACGACTGCATTCGTGTCGTCAACACAGGGTATGGCCACAACTGCGATGGAGAGATGTCTGGTTCTGCGACGGATTAAGATTTCTCCTCCGTCAAGGGGATGGAAGAGCACGGGTCTACAGACGTCAGGGAGAACGTTACGCCGGAAACTGCGTACAGGGAGTGAACAGGTTTGATGGGGGTAGCGTTATGATGTGGGCGCCTATCTCTCATCATAGCAGGACAGGTTTGGTCCATGTCCAGCGCAATATTACGGGTCAACGATACATCAACGAAATTCTCCTATCACACGTCCCCCCAATTGCAACCAACGGCAACGGTGTATTCCAGCAGGACATCGCTTGACCGCATACAGCACGGATCACAAGAACCTGTCGTCAACCACAACACCAGACATTGCAGCAGTTGGCTTTTGCGTTGCAAACCGAGTGGGCTACCATTCCCCAGGATGTGCTTCGCATACTCGTCTCTTCCATGGGCAGGATATGTCAGGCCGCTATCAATTCCAACGGGGGACATACGCGTCATTGATGGCAGCTGACCTTCACCTTGGACTTTTCCTATGTACCGATAACTGAGATGACTACAATCAGTGTTCTCTCCATAACATTTTGACCCAATACCTTGTACTGTCCCTCGTATAAATGTATTTATCTGGCTTTGCGTTTCTTTTTTTTTAAGAGTATATCATAGACAGTAACCTGGACTCACAAATGTGCACAGACAAGAAATCGATATACAAAAGTTTACTGTGACAAATAGGGGTTAGAGATTACACTTCAGAGGTCAGTTATTGTGGGTTTCAGACATTGTTGATACCTAAGAAGTACAGAACATTACTAATTTCGTCTTTTTATCCAGATTCGTCTCGTTAATGTCATGGGAAGCCTTTTTGTATATTTGCAGAAAAGGGAGGTGTCCTTTAACATTATGTACTAAGTGATGAAGGCAACAAATTGCTTATGTTTAAATGGATTTAGTCGGTGTAAAAAGTATATGTGATGAATGTTGTACATGGACAGACATCGTCATCCAAACGCCCGTTATGAAATGCTGAAGTCATATGATGAAAACGGCAGTACAGTACATATACTGCAATTACAAACAGGATTGATTTCGCATATGTTTGGATATGTACATCCTCTTCTACAATCATGTTAAAAAACAAAGATATACACATTAAACTTGTGCCTTCAACATTTTTTATACAATATCCCACATATTAAGTTGTACTCGAACCGGAGAAGTAACTATTGGAGATATCTCCAAAGAAATAAATCTGATGTAATCCGGGAATAGTGCAAATTCTGATATCTGAATCATACGTTTAATATTATAGAAATGTCAGTGGAGCCATACTGAAATGCAACAAATGTGATGATAATACAGTTAAAGATGAATATCACTTCTTTTGAATATGTCCATATTACACAGAAAGCATCTGAGACTTGAATGTATAATTTGTACTCGCGGCCCAGACGGTTCTGACTCAACACAAACGTTTCGTCTTGTCTTCTCTTTCTGCTGAATCTCAGTCGTTTACTCGCCACTTATTATGAATAAGGTATAATGATAATTTCAAATATAATCTACTTCTACTTGTTCTGTTTTATGTTGTTATATACTTAGGCGGTATTCATAACTCTTTCATATTATCGTATCAATCCAATTTCAATAAGATATATAGATTGTACATTCTAGTAGAGATAATAACAAGATAACCTATTTCAAGGTCCAAATTATCTCTCTTTTGTGAATTACTGTAAATTTCGTTTCGTGACAGAATACCAGTAATTTCTGAAGCTTGTAAGTTATTCCCCAACTGTGTCATGAAACACAACCGTGATCGTTATTGAACGGAGGACCAATGACACGAAAAGGGCGTCGCAGTGCAGTTTCACTCTGATAACTGTCTTGTAGTTCCTCCGAAGCACTCCACGTTCTGGATCATTAGCGTACCCTTGAGTGTGAATGCAACACTCTTCCGTCAAAATGACGGTTTTCGCCTCCATAATTCAGCTGACTAATTTGCGTATTGCAAGGGGGAGGTTTTCCCAATAATTCCCACAATCTGTACTCAATCCTTTGTGAGAGAGACCAAATTTCAGGTGCTTGTGGAGGTTTTTCAGTGACATCACTACGTTTCAGCTTAAAAATGAAGATCCTACTGGTGCAGTTCTTAGACGTTCACATCTTTAGTGAAACACACAGGCACTGGTATGGTCTCAACAATCTGAGGACCATCACCATTGCGAATCTTAGTTTCAAACCAACTAGGATCCTGGATCATAGGATCCTGGTGCTCCTGAGGGACGCAACTCTGCAGCGCCTTAGACAATTGAGTTACCCGTATAACCAATGAAGCTGGTATACGTAACTGGCAACCAATCACCTACCTGTCATACAACAGAAACACAACTGTGTACAAAGGAATAAACAAACATAAAAAATACACATTATTTATTTACAACAATCTTCTACATTTACATATCATGTTCGATGTCTATATTGTGTCTAAAATATACTTTGACATAGTCCCTTGTTCGCCTATGTCTCTTAACACACCGATTTTGTTCTTAATATGATTGGTAACAACTTCGTCAGTTACATTACGTAAGTAGTCACATTGGTATAATTAGTTAACAATATGGTTAAGCAGTATTGACAGGATAAGCAACATTTAGGATCATTCATCATCGGTTACACCGAAAACAAGTGAAATAAAGCATGTGTATACATATATACAGATAGTATCACTAATTGAAGAGTATAATAACATTAGTTTTTTATACAAAAAGACAAACCACTGTCGATGTAACAGGTTATGTTAAAGTTAAATATGAGTAACAAAAAAACACTAATTCAAACGTCACATCTAAGCTAGGAGCATCAGTAAATCATTGTATCCGACAATAACCGTAGTTTCTATTCAAAGGACTCAGCATCTGTTCCTGAAAATACCACGAAAACATATAATGCACCATAAATCGTTCGTTGGAAGCGAATGACTTGAAGTTAGATGTACTGGCATTAACATTCACGTTGTTTTGTCTGCTTTTGTCATAGGCAAGACAATAAGTAGAACAAGAGTCACTGACACGGTACCTGTGATAAAAATCCAGAACATAAATCTGTCGATCACTTCCGCAGCTTCTTGCCATTCCCGGCACATGTTGTCTTCCTTCTCTTTTTCCTCCTCTCGAAAAATCAGTTCTTGAAGCCTCGCCAAAACCTCGTCAAAGTCACCAACGTTCCTAAACTCTCGCCGAGTGTTCACGTTATCTAATCTTCTATGAGACGTTGGTTCGCCATTTTCGTAATCTATTAAGCCACAACCAGAATCGTTTGAAAAGTTATTTTCCGTTCCTTTATAGAACTGCCTGCCGCCTCTCATTCCACTTCGAAGAACCTCCCCCTCGTTAGCTAATACTGGCCGGATGAAATACAGCCGTTTGCACATTATTCTGGCGAGGATGATAACAAGTTTCTTGAGCCATCTCGGTACTGAGATTTCTTTCCGCCCATGACTGCTAATGTTAGACACTGTCACCGCCAGGATTACGGAGAAAGATGTCAAGGACATTACACTTGTCAAATAGATACCTAAAAGTACAAAAACGAAAACCTCATATAACAGGTAGTCGAACATGTACACAATGTGTAATTCGGAGTTTCCTACATGAGCATCGACATACATGTACAGTCATACGTGTACTTCCGTTACTACAGTGTATCTTTACTTCACACTTGGTATTGTGCATACTTTTTAATATGCAGTAATCCCAATGCTTGTCAACTGACTAATATGATCGGATGGTTTCGATATAGGACCGAGTAAATTGTACCATCGCACCCCGACAGAGTGGTTCGTTGCTCATGTTATCAACCACTGGTTTGGACCAGATCAATTACACTCCGCTATTGCTGACTTCAACAAAATAAAATATTGAAGTACCCTTTCTCTCATTCATAGACGCACTCACAGACCAAGTCATTCACAGAATTGAAAGATGAAATAGATGTATAAAAATATATATATTGTTTGCAATCACTGTACGTTTCTTCGTTCGTTTGTTTGTTTGTTTGTTGTTTAACGCCGCACTCAGCAATATTCCGGCTATATGACGCCGGTCTGTAAATAATAGAGTCTCGACCAGACAATCCAGTGGTTGACATCATAAGCATCGATCCACACAATTGGGATACGATGATATGCATCAACCAAGTCAGCACGCCTGACCACTAGATCCCGTTAGTCGCCTCTTACGACAAGCATAGTCTCCTTATACGGCAAGCATGGGTTGCTGAAGACCTATTCTATCCCGGATCTTCACGGGTGCATTGCGAAGTAGTTCCATTGCAACTGCTGTCAAAACAGGCTTGCAGCAATTGATGTCACCCACAGTTGATTCATAACAACCTTAGGGTTTCTATCAATGGCATTTCGCAAATCATTTTGGCATTGTAAAAACATTTTTAAAAATGACATTTCCCAATCATACACGAGGTAAGGATTGCCATGAGCACCTCTGCAAATATTGATAGGGTCAGGCCTCCACGGTGATCTATGCATGATAACATCCAGTGAATAAGCAGAACGTCATCTGGCTACAATAGTCAGTCAATCGACAAGTCCTGAACGTTGCTGTGTTTGGAAGAACTGATTAAACTCAAACACTAGAATGGATTCTGGAGAACCTACACGATCACCATCATATTGACACTCATGTTCTGAATTTCTAAACAGACACATGCATTTCTGCAACAGCACATTAATTCCTACACAGACACATCTCCGGATCTCCGTGAAGACACATTTCTCGATGATTGACGCAAAGCAGTGAGAATGGCACTGGCCACAAAAGATCAATATGTAATTGAGTCGTTGCAAAACTAAAGTGATGGCAGTGAACAATTCACGCGATCACACCCAGTGTCACATCTGTACTTACGGCAATTGGGCAATCATCTTTGAGATAAGAATGTTGAAACATAATTGATGGATACCTTTGTCTTGAGTCGACCAACCCCCAAGCAATGCTTCAAGGCATGATATTCCAGATGGATTTGAAGTATGTCTTCTCTACGTATGTTTTGTTGATACACACAACGTGCTGTTACAAAATCCGTAACCAATCCTTACACAATGTTCTTAGCATTGTACTTAAGAATATATTTTGTAGCTGCCTAAATCATACTGGTTTTAGGGGTCCATTCCGGACGGATATAATGGTATATGCCTCAAATGATCCTTTTAGGTTTACTTTGTACATTGTAAAATATACATTCATGACTACTTCATATGGGTTACAGGGAAATGACCGGCTTACCTATGAGGGGAACAAAGCTTGAAGTAGCGGGCATGTTCTCAGCAATAAGCAGCATAAACACTGAGAACGCAAGAAGAACCGTCAAACCAAGTGTGACCTTCTCCCCACTCTCGGGTGACATCCAGAAAACCAACAACGTCAACGTCGACAACATAATGCAAGGCGTTATGACGTTGTAGGTGTAGTACAGCGTACGACGGCGGAGGTGAATGGTGAAGGTGACGTCAGGGAACGGTTCTGGGCAGCACTGGTAGTACACCACATTACGGATTGCTTCAACGCTTACTAAGTCCCATTCTCCATTTTCTACGTAGTTTGACAGATCCACGGCGGTCGCCGATCTGTTGTAGACATTCACCTGAAAGCCATCATATGCCCAGGATCCGATCTTCATTTTGCAGACTTGGTCATCAAACGGGAAGTAAGTGATGTCGATCTGACAAGTGCTTCTAAGTTTGACGATAGGGGGCCAGAACACGGTGCCATCTGCTTGTACCATAGCTAGAGCCTGCATGTAACCATTTGTATAGTCCTCGGCGCTGTAACAAAGTTGTTTTAATCTTATCACACGTGTAGCAGTATTGATATTAGTATATTATGTAATCTTACCGTCAATATACAATCGGATTTCAGTCTGGATATATTCTACATTTTAACAACCATTCTCGTTTAAATTCATTTATGTCTCCAGTATTTTGTTCACCATGCTAACATCTCTAAATCAATTTAAATATCTATTCTAACGCTTCATCTTTGTTATTTTCGTAAAAATGGTGTGTTACTCAGTTTCTTCTTTTAGGAAAAAACGAAACTAGATTGGAATGAAATTGAAAGGATCTCAAAGCCATGCAAAAAATGAATTAGTTTTTTTTATCATTCTTATTTTTAGTTTACCCTTTTCGACAAAATGTCAGCTGTCAATTTCTGAGCCAATTATTAAAAAATGTGTCCATCAATATCAGTTAGTGGATACATCAAGGGTGTCTGGAAATGGAAAGGGTTTTGACTAAAAAAGCATACGACCAGCTCTCAAACATCCCAATCTTAAAGGGCGTCGAGAATGTCTGAAAAATCAATGGAAGGGCAGATGTTTCGAAATACCCCCTCAATATTCAATACCGACACCACTCACGTCATGCAAATAGAAAAAAATGACAGATCATGTTGATATTTGGTATCACGCTTTTGCGTGTTCCGTTTGTATCCCTGTTGTTTTGAACTCCTTTTTAAAGACATCTTTACGGAAAGTACCTGTTATACAGCACGATATCGGGTTTCCAAATCTCGCTGCATGGAATCCTAAGCACCTTCAACCCGTTGTAGTCGCCCGGGTCCCAGTACAGTTTCTCATCCTTCCATTCCTGCGAGGGAGACAGTGAGAATGTAATTAATTATACATGACCTGGCCTGACGGCACGGTGTTGGTAAATAAATGACCCCAGGGAGAAGCACAGGACAGCATTAATAGTTAGGATACACCCACCAGTAAAGAGAACGCACTGAATTGATTCAACTGGCTGAGTGCAGTGATTGTTGAGATACTCAAATAACACAGCGTCACGTATGTAGGAACACTGAAATCAGAATCTATTCTGATGATTATACACGTACGATTACACTAACGTATTAGATGCCCTGTGTGGCATTTAGCAGATATCCATGTATGTATGTCTGTGTCTCGCAGGTGTGTATATTTTAATGATGAATGTTTATCCCCTGCAACAATAACACCACAGAAAGCCTTCTGCATTAAACCTAATTCATTTGCAACACGTCTATATTAACTGACGTTATAATATACTCTGTAAAAAAGAAACGCTAAAGTAGTAAACTCGTAAATATCTGACAGAGTGCTGCCGATATCCATACAAACATATTACCACAATTGAATTGATCATTTCTGCATGGATTGGGATTGATTTGTGTGGAAAGAATGAGGTACTGCAAAATATTGGTTAACAGATGGAAAAATCGCAAAAACACAACCAGATGAGAGCCTTGCGCTGAAACATACCAACACGTCTTTCATGTGCAACAGCACTCGTTTGGCAATACAAAAGTTTTCATTTACATGTTATCACAATCTTGCAGCAAGTGAACTGAGAAAACATGCCACGACTGACGGAAGCCCAACGCAACAACGCCATCGGCCGACTGTAAATAGGAGAGTAGATGGATGGGTGACCACGTAAAGCAGCTTGACTCCTGAGAGTTTCTAGGGTTTCGGCCCTTCCCCACACTGAAGCACATGTACCACATGTGGTGTCTCCTTTGGCAAGTGACTTTGATCGAAATGTGCCTCTGTTCACCCAGCAGTGAGTGGGTACCCGGTAGGATGAGATGGTAATGTGGCTATTAACCTTCTGGCGCCTCACAGGCAGCTTGGTTTATATACTCCCCAGGGAGCTGAGCATGAAATTCGAGTGCTCACTGATCCATTGACTGGGGTAATAATGTAAGCGCCATGAGCACACGAGCTGGTATGGAGTTTGGCGCCATACAAAAGGACTCATTATTATTATTATTATTATCTTCAGCTGTAGCCAGGTATTTCCACGTAGCACCAAGCACCATTACAAGACTTGTGGAACCGTTATAAGACACACGGAACAAGCCGTGACCTTCCCAGATCCGGTCGACCACGTATCACTACTAGAGCACAGGATAGCCACCAGACAATACCAGACAACGCCAGACCTCACAAGACCTGCCATTGCCCTCCAGGTCTCCAAATACAAACCCAGTCATTTATGGGATGCACTGGATCAACAACTGAGAGCACGTCAGCAACAACCATAGATCATCTGACAGTTGACACAAGCACTGCATGTAGAGTGGGTGAACATTCCCCAGGCTGCAATTCGGGATCTGATTGCTTTCATGGGAAGACAATGCCAGTCAGTTTTAGACTCCAGTGGTAGCCATACAAGATATTGAGAACAGATGACATTCACCTTGAAAATCTACTGTTCCATGTGTGCCACACAGTACCTGGGTCAATGACAATGATTACCATCTGTTAATAATTTATATGATACATAAAACAACTTTTCCACAGTATATAATGGACATGAATAGTTAACATTGCATGATACTTCTCACTTTGTTCAACTAGAAGTAAGGCAATATTTTATTTATATATTCGTCAAATGTCGACATCAAGTAAAGAAACTGTTCACAAGAACCCAGATCGTGGTATTCCTCTTCAGTCAATACAAAATTCATCCCAGCACATGACACGGGGGGTAATATTGTAATGTTAAGCTGGCCTTCAGTATCGTGTAATAATAAAGTCGAAGTTCCTATAGTGTATTTCCGTATTTCAAAATGATCAGTTGTGCGTAGTATGGTTAATAATAACCATTTATGTGTTTATGGATCACTATCAACTCGTGAAGATACCAAACAAATAGTGAATGTATTCGGGAAAAGGTGAGTGTATCCTGCTCCAGCGGTGACACCCGTCGTAACTACATGCAAAGGCAAGACAATGGTTCACCTGAAATGCCGCGATATAACTGGAATACTGTTAAAAGCGGCGTTAAACACAACTCACTCACCTGAAATGTTTTTTGCATCCGTGGCTGTATGTAGTATGTTCGTGTCGTAACAACATCGTTCAGTGTTATCATGGTTAAGGAAGTCCGGCCCCTCATAAGGGATAAATGTGTTCATTCCTAAAACTGTTGTCAACATGTAGCCTACTACATTTGTAAACTCATTCCAACACTTCAATACTTGAAGAGTTCTGCTGCAGAGTTGTTTGACAATCGGTTGTAGTTAACTGATGTATGATATGACACACCAAGCGGAATAACACATGTGATTAACGGAAACTATTATTTGAAATATAATAAGTTCTGAAGTCTGATGTTTATGATCGTATAAATAGAAAGACGATAAATCGCAGTTAAATCACTGATCCATGTCAAACTGAATTAGGGCATATTGAATGATCACAGTGTTAAAGTCCTCACGGGATTTCCACAACTACAACATATTATGTCTAATGGTGTTATCACGCGCAGCATATCCCGTGTCAAAACCACAAGTCATTATCATACTGCGATTCATTAAACTGAGTGGTTGATCACAAGATCTCCAGAAGCTTTTTTATGAATTGTTTTAGTCGTCAACATTATTCATCCTCTTACATGATGTTATTAAAACGAGGCTGTAGCAAGAAATCGACCCAAGTATAGTTTGTAATTACAAGGCAAGAGCTTAGTATTGAAATTGCACACATGTAATGTTTGTAATCACGGTTCGGCATCGCCATTCTCGGCAGCCCAGTTAATTGCAGTGTTCATTTTTTAAACCATGGACTGAATGTATATCAATGTTCAAGTACATTGCATCCAAGCTATTCCATTCGAAACTTAAAGATAGGCAAAAATCGTTACACCGCAAAACATTATAAAATCACTATAATCCATTTAATGCATTACAGACTCAGTTGACGACATTATATGAAATTATATTCCATCCCTTGAAACAGGACTTAAAGTTACATTATTAACTTATTCAGATCTGCATGCAAAAAAATAGGTGAAAAAAAATCGACCTTGAATGTTTTGCTTACCAAAAATTATATTTGTAAAAGAATCGGAAATTGTATATTTCACACCTAATAATACTGGCACTAAATACCCGATGAACTGTTGTCGCCAATCAATATTTCTGTGCAGGTTGTGTCCAGATAAACAAAATCTGTTCTTGTTTCAGGAAGACTTATTTTACATCGGTTCAGTTTCAATCACGTCTATTCCTGAGAGATGAATCGAAATAACCTGATTAATGTCATATTGATATTTACTGGATGCCAGGGGAAATCAGGAGATAGCACGGAATATACAACGTTCATATGACGGCGCACTTACGTCACTCATATCTCACATGAATGAAAATACCCAACACTAATTAATAAATTATTCATGTGTTTAAAGGTTGCATAAAACACTGCAAGAGTTGGGTGAAATAATATCGACAGAAACTTGATGGTAAGATTACCTTTTAATTACCGTACATCGTGATTGTCTTTGTTTGTGAATAGTCCCTTCTGTGTTAGTAGATAACCTGTGTGATACAATGAGTTTCACACAATAACATACCAATCCAAGATGTGAAAATGTTGCTGAAGAGGTTAATATTGATTCATGTCCTTTGGCTCTGTGCCAGAGGCATCAAACATTGCACATGCTGTGCAATGTTTGTTGTTTTCCTCAACTGAAATTTTACACCAATGACCCTACGAGTGACCATATCAATGCTTTCAAGATTTACCAAAGTAGTAAAGGTCTGTAGAACCCGTGGTCTCTTGCTGTTCCGTGCACATTACACCTAGCCCCGTGATTGGAATAATTATACTGTAAACGGTGGTTCAACACTCACTCACCCATGATATCTGTACAAACTACAACGTTACGTTTAACTGAGTTACAATAAGGGATGGTCAGATACATAACTTGTGTAATTACAATGGGACATGTGGTGCCCATAACACAAATGGATGAGCGTGTTCAACGTACCGTCTTATGAAAGGTCTTGAACATTATTTCATAGTTATCCATAACGATGATAAAGAAAGAAAATGACCAAAACCAACATTCTTACCTGATCTAGCCAAATGTTTGTAGTCAAAACCTGATTTTTCTCGTCCTGAAATTATAACGAATTTCACACATTTATTACCATCTAGACTATAACATTAACACAATCGTTTCACGGCAATTAACCTTGAAATAACAGCACACTCCATAATAGGACTAGGACAACATATGGCATGCTTGCAAACATTGCTGCGCTTATCAGTAAACAATACAAACAGTCGGGGGTCCAGTGGATAACGCGAGTGCCCGGAGAGTGGAAGGTCGGTTGTTCGAAGCCCGGCCGCGTCATACCAGAGATGGTACTTGTTTACACCTTTCCTGTCGATCGGCATGAAGGGAATAAAACAAGGTCAGATCGGCCCGGGGTCAGTATTCTGTGTCTGAGTGGGGTATCCATGTTAAACTGCTGCACGGCATGCCAGTACAAAGCACACACACGCACGCACGCACGCACGCACGCACGCACGCACGCACGCACGCACACAAACACATACGTACACACACACTCGCCATATAAGTGCAACAATCTTGCATGCATTCTCAAATTCTCAAAGACGTACGCCAATTGCAGGTGTATTCCATGTGGTATTGACAATGAAGTTGTACGAAGAATCAATGACGTTTCCTTACCACGTCAAATACTTGTGTTAATGTAATGCCAATGTACACGTCGACGGAGTGCGAGGCGTTGTAGACGGGGCGGGTATGTCTGTCGTACCCCGCCATCAGGGACATGTACAGTTTCTGCTCATCCGTCAGTATTGGAGCACTCTTGTTGATGCAAATTTGATACTCTGGAAGTAAACATTAAATAATTAGAAACAATAAGCACAATAATATTTTTGCTCCGTTGAATTATACTATATAATTAAACAGAATTTGTTTAATATTTAACACAATGTGGCTGACATGAACTTTTTTATTCAATTTTACTATTTAATAAATCCATTAGAAATATAAAAGAATATTGTGAGTAAAACGGACACTTGATGATTGACAACTTTCATAATGGAAGATGTGAGCTGTAAAAGTACAAAGTGTTACAAGTATGGAAAAACATATTAATCATACATAACAGTGAGTGGGAAAGTTTGATATGTTTACACATGCTGATTAATAATTAAAATCCCATGCGATTGGATTCTATCGATTGTACTGCCAACTTTATTCTAGCCACTAAGATCCCGTTTTCATTCGTCATAATAACCTACCTTTCTCTGCCGACACTCCTTTGTTGAAGCATACCAAGAACGACAACCCAACCAGGACTTCTATTCTCGCCATCTTGAATCGTGCAGTATCATGCTTCCGCAGCCAGCATATGATAGCCTACAACAAGAAGGAACAACGCCTACGTTATATAGTCACCGAAGCCTTCTTGGTTCGTATGACCTACCGCGGTACGCGCCAACGGTGTATCATTACAAATCACCTCTCTTCTTCACGAAGCTTTAGCCATATCATGACTGCAGCCGAAACACCGGAGATAACATATGAGAAACACATTGCCGTGCCACATTTTCAACACCTACTCGAGATTGAAAACTGTTTCCTTGCTACTTGTTTGTTATGGAAACATTAAGGTCTGTTTATGCTAAGACCTTCTGGCAACAGTGGGGCCCCAACGCAAATATTTTGCAAATGTGTTTACATGACTGAAAAGATCAATTGTACTATGATTTGTGAATAAACGCTTTCTTTCTATACCTCATATCGATAGAATAAGTGTTTGGACGTTCATGCCCCTTTTACTAACTGTATCATATCGTGTATTCAAAAGAGCCATTTTGCAGTTACATGTGTTATACATTACATTATACAACATCAAGCAATGCTGATAGCTCCTGAATATAATGTACATACACTTCAAAGTCTGTAACTGGATTGTTATCATGTTTACAGGTATATATAATGTGATACGTATGTATTATTCTTGTAGTTAAAGGTATTACATAAAAACAATGCTTGTCACTACGACTAATATCAGTGTTAAATTTTCGTCATAGTGCACATCATGTAATTAAATGAAAATTAAAAAAATAAAATGCTGCATTATCGTGTAGATCAAAGCAACTTATTAATGACCTACCTTACATATATTGCATATCTCATTCCATTACCCTTCTGTCCCGCAAAAAAGATTGATGCCTTCTTCCTATTTCACAGAATCACTTTCTATTTTACAAAATTAACACATCCCCTCGCAGCGGGCTAGTCTGGACACAGGTGTATCATACTCAATACAAGTTCTTGGTCCTGGCAATTGTTACAACCAACAGGACCATTCGTGAAGTAGTTGTTATTCCGTGGAGATTGTTTCATTTGTTGCTGTCTGTTGGGAAATGTAATATCCTCTTCCCTGGTGTGAAAACAATGCACTTCTATAACTCCATAACATTTTAATCTCTTGTGCATGGGCTTGCCACGGTCCTACCCACACCACACTATATGTTCCCAGACAGCCTTTCCTGGTGGTATTTGCATCATTACAAACGTATATGCTTTAACTGTTTCTTGGTTGAAAAGGAGTTGGAAATGAAAATCGTGTTTCAGAATAGTGTGCATGTAGTTTTTATCAATGATCACACGGTTCCTTGTGTCTCCGGCGAAGCATACAATCAAAAGGCAATCCTGACAAGGCATACACGTCTGTCCACTCAATTTAAGCCATTATCAAAGAGACGTGCAAATGCATGGACGTATTGTAAAAAGGATTGGGAAATAACTGCAGAGAGTGTGAAACGGAAACGTCGAATTGAACCCTTGTGCATACGCTTCACATGGACCTGTGTTGAATTTTGATGATCGACCATACTGGATATGCTCCATTTAAAACTTATGTAATGAAATGTAAAGTAATAAACGTATATTTACTGCTTTAATAAGAACTGATGTGTGTCGTTTCGGTTGCAGCCACAAACAGTACGTCTTACAAATGGATGACATGCATAGTATTTCATCATCAATAAATCAACAGGAGCGGTCAGTGACCATGTCAGCAATGTACATGGTATTCAGTTAATAACATTAAAGTGTTTTCTCACTGCCTGGTATTTTTTGTAGATATTTGTTTCTTTGTTTAACGCCGCCACGCAGTGATATTCCAGGTATATGACAGCAGCCTGTTAATAATCCCGCCGGGTTTTCAGAACGAAATATTACCAGTGTCCATACGTTACTGGTTGCGTTTCTATTTACTTTCACGCGCTGAAACAAACATAATCTGAAAAAATACATCCGTAAATGATAACCAAAATAGAAAAAATGTTTCTTGACATAACCAAAACACAAAATAACGACAGTTCTTGAACTGAATCGTTTGATTTCACTGTGTTAAACATACATACGTCGTAGTGATAACAGCGGCATGGTATTAACTTGCGCTCAGACAATACGAGGTGGGCATGACAAAAGGCATGTGTGGGTAGTAACATATTTTCCTTCACACAAATATTATATCGTCACGACGAACGCATGTACTTAAGTATGTCTATAGGGATATAGTTTTGAAGCAGCATATTCAACTCTCGTCAGATTTCCATGTGTTTTTCTCACAAACGTCGATGACTTGTTTGGTTTTGGTCCGTAAAATAGCACAGATTGGGTCGCTATAATGGTTGTGTTGACGTTCCACGTGGGAAAACGGGCCGTACAACATATCAACAACAAGCATGTGTTTAGTGGCCTACAACACTTTGATAAAACAATAACAACAGATTTAACATCAGCCATTTCAGAACGTTTAACTCCACGTTATGTTTGGATATTTCTCCTCAATATTCTTCCACAAGAAACAGATTCAGTATCTATTTTAATGTCTCATGCTGCCAATTGAACAGTGTTACTGAAACGTTCATTGGTCTTGTACACTGAGTATTTGTGATGATGTTGCGATCTCTAGTTAGTCGAACATGAGTGCAGGAATGTGCATGCACATGTACATTATACTTCTTGTAATAATTATACAATATTCACAATACATGACAGTTGTGTGTGTATGGGAAGGGGATGATGAATGGAACTTTGCCACTGAAATATTAACGATAAAATATGTCAAAATATTGAACACAAGACACGTGAATTTATGTGCGTCGAGGTTGCTTGAGTGACCACTAGTCAGGAGTAGTCCCCTGGCTGCATGGACTGGTCAATTTGCATGTGTAACACGAGAGTTTCTTTTCACAAGTAAAACGTCATAGCTTTCAAAGATGTTACAGACAGTTTCTGTTTGGTAAAATTGTTCCCCCATAAACACATTTTGAGAAAAACATGTCACACACATTGACCTTTCCAGGAGCATTCAGGTAGTATATTTGCAAAATGTTCAAAGTATTACCTCAAAATCGCCTATAACCGAACTAATTGCTTGTTCAGATTAAAGAAGAAATTGCAGCGTGATTATAAGGTCCGAATCCGAAACTGGTGTTATTAGATTGGAGATAGTGATGGCATATGGAGTAATGCTAGGTTGTTCTGATGGAAAAGTGAGTGAGTGAGTGTGTGAGTTTGTTTTAACGCCGCTTTTAACAGTATTCCAGTTATATCACGGCGTGTCAGCTTAATGTGGGAGGAAAGCCCGAAGTGATGCAGGTCTCAGACGTTTACCTCTTCGGTGAAAACCACGAGCAGGGGTATGGTGCTGACAAACCTAGAAACATAATCGGGGCGAACCGGGATTCGAACCCACAATCATAGGTTTCTGGCGTGCCCAAGGGACGCAACTCTGCACAGCGAATCGCGGCGCCTTAGAAGACTGGGCCACCCGTGCCCCCCGATGGAAAAGACGAAATGCCGTAAACAAAGAGCCATAAGGTGAGGTGACGTGAAATGAGATTCAACATCGCGTTCAAGATTATGTCATTTACCTGGCCATGTGCATGTGGGTTTGTGTGACTGCTTGTGCCTACCATGGCCGCGTCATACCAAATGACGTTGATAGAATAAACTTGATGTTATCCTGCCTGGTGCACGGCATTATTGGGATAAAACAAGGACTGGTCGATTCAGAGTCTGTACAATGTGGGGTATATCCATGTTAAACTGCGGCTTAATATCTCAGAAGCCTGGCACTATAAAGCCGACATATATACAGACAAGTAAAAGCAGCCATACCCACGTGCATGCACGTCGCGATATTAGTGCAATAATCTTGAACGAGACGTTAAATCCCATTTCACGTCACCTCACCACGTGTTCACGTTACCTGTGGTTACCCTGACTGATGAGAAGGAGGTCACGAGAGGACAGATGGCCATGGCCTCCCCCATGGATACAGGGCAGTGGGTGCGGAGAAGGTATAACACGGTAATCGTCTTTCCTAATAGAAAAAGGACTGTGACCTCAACTTCCTCTTGGGTGCTGCAGCACATCATGACATGTTAACATCATCGCTGTGGGCGAACTCTGTCGCCATAACGATGTAATTAACGTAAATCATACGTCGCGGTTTCCCACGATGATATATTATGACTGGAGCTTATGTGTTTGATTAAGAAATGAGATCAAACGTTGGACGCCTTCTAGTGTAATTCGCTGACACGGAAACCGTGCCAGCTTCATGAGTCAGGGACTAGGAAATTAGTGCTAACACAATTTCGAGCAGAATCGGTTTTCAAACTAAACGCTCCCAATGATGTGACGACACTCGTTTTCTTAGCGTTATTTTCATTCCAAGTACAATGCTGCCGTCTGTATGTGTCAATTAAGGTATGTTATCCAAAGGCAACGGAAAACGAATCAATTTATGAAAATATCTTATATAATGTAATGCAATTTCGCAGCACATCACTACTTAAATTGATGTGGTAATCAAAACATGCCAAGGAAACAGATCACAGAGTGCTAACACTTTATCAATTCCTTACAAGTATGACTGCATTATTTATATTATGTATTATTATATTATTTATTTATTTAGCTTACGCTTTGAGTGTACTGTTTTATATTATCAAATTATCATCGGGATTAAAATCAGTTCCTTGGCATGTAAGACATTACATGATATTATAACATAACGTACTGTTCAGTGATTGCATTTCGGAGACGTTTCGCTTTAATATCAGATATCAATAGAATCCACGTCTTCTCTAGAAAAAACATAAAAGCGTCTGCGAAACTTTGAATAACAACACATGTGCAACAATCTTAATATGTCACACAGCGACGCAAATGCATGTTTTGTTTAATTTGAAATATCTACCAAAGCGGAGTTAACCATACTGAAAGAAATATCTAATTACATCAAGAAACATCATGGGAAAATTGAGTCTTGTACGTAGGTCGCATGTCCTCGGCCTTTATAACCAATGAAAACTGCATCAAAGTAAGCTCGGGATGAACAGGGGTCATTAGGGAGATGCACCTAGATGGGATGGCCTTGATAGCGATATCCAGATAAACAGATAAAGATGTCGACACAAATACACGGTAGTTAGGCAAAAGGTCATGGAGTAATCTAACATTGTGGCTATTTCATTTCATTGTACTCCATGTCACAAATGAGTATTACAAGGCAACATCAGATCTACCAAATACCTCAACATACGACCCCTGAAGATCCGGGGTAGAATAAGTCTTCAGCAACCATGCTTGCCGTAAAAGCGACTATGCTTGTCGTAAAAGGCGACTAACGGGATCGGGTGGTCAGGCTCGCTGACTTGGATGATGCATGTCATCGGTCCCAATTGCGTGGATCGATGCTCATGATGTCATCACTGGATTGTCTGGTCCAGACTCGATTATTTACAAACCGCCGTCATATAGCTGGAATATTGCTGAGTGCGGCGTAAAACAACAAACAAACAAACAAACAAACAAACAAACAAACAACAAACAAACAATACCTCCACATACGCTGGTTGTGGTCTTTAAAAATAGCACTTCGAATTATATTTTCTACAGGTACAAATGATCGTACATATTAGTAAGGGTACAGTAAGGTTCATATATAGACCTCTCTTGTCTGGCACAGAAAGGATGTACCACGTGTATAACTACCAATGAGTGAGTGAGTATGGTTTTACGCCGCTTTTAGCAATATTCCAGCAACATCACGGCGGGGTACACCAGCAATGGGCTTTACACATTGTACCCATGTCGGGAATCGAACCCGGGTCTTCAGCGTGACGAGCGAACGCTTTAACCACTAGGCTACCCGACCGCCCTAACTGCCAATGACGTATTTCTGTAAAGGTGTGACATCACTGATGCACTGCATAATAGGTCACATGCACGGCGTCTCAAGGTTGTCTGCATCGCGAGATAAGCTTTTCTTGTCATGGAATAGAGCCATAGATAACAGGTGGCTTTGTCTGATTCATTGGCATCTAGCGGAACAATTACGTTACACGGGACATCAATGAAGACACAGAAAGACATAACATTGCATAATAAAAGAAAAGTAGGAAAACATAAGTCGTTAGAGGCTTGTTTGTATGGAACCTGTGTTAAAGATCTGGACATGATCAGTTACGTGTTATAACGACAGGACCAGACATACTCGCAATAAGACGGCAGAGTAACGACCACGCTGCCCTAGTGAGATAAAGACAAAATGTTATTCTCTATTAGTTGGCTTCATTTACATTCTCTAGTCCAGGTACACTGTGTCCTTTGGCTGTTGTAAAACGCCGCACACAGCAGCATTGAAATTATCCAGTGTAGCACCATGAGCATCGATCTACGCAATTTGAATACAATGACATGCATCAACCAAGTCAGCGAGCCTGACCATCCGATCCCGTTTGCCGCCTTTTACAAGCATGTGCTGCTGAAGACCAATTCTAACCTGGATCTTCA